TCATTGGGTGACCATATCCTTAATTCTAGAATGTCTCAGGCCATGTTAGACATAATCACACTGCAATGATTAGTACTTAATGAAATTTGATGTGTTTGTTTGACATTACGGGGAATTCCAGAAGTTATTTATTATTCATGAAGTGACGTCTGCTACGAGTTGGTTGAAATATTTTCACCTTCGGTAAATTATCACCGATATTAATCTATAAAGGTGAAGGCTAAAGATCATTACAATCTATATAATCCTAGGAACTGATACATAATCATCACTTTTTAACCCTCGTAAAAGGCGAACACTTTCACCTTCGTTAGAAGGCGAACTCGCGTTGCACCATCAACTTATGATATTCTACACCTTCAACTCCTCAAGGTTAATATTTCACCTTCACCTTTTATTTCACCACCACGAATTTAACAACTCTTTCTTGTACTTCGATGAGGTGAATTCTATATGATATATATCATTACAAATATAGATTGAAATCCACTCAGAGGTGGAGAAGGTGCAATTAAATTTGAAGCTCCATTGCACCTTTCCCCACGGAGTTCATTACCGTTGCCTCCCGTGATTCTCTGGTTTACATAAGTTTAGTATTAAGTCTTGAATATTTATGTATATGTAACTGTATTGACAATTAGTAATTATATATCCACCATTTTTGTCCTTAAAGCAATTTATAAATAAATACTTTCGATGTTTATTCTACACGGTATTGTGTTATTCTTTTAATCAAAAGCTAGACAGGATGACCCAAAAATATTGTAGCCCGGAGACGGCGTTACACATATATCCATCCATCCATCCATCCGTCCGTACATGCATGCATGCATGCATGCATGCATGCATGCATGCATACATACATACATACATACATACATACATACATACATACATACATACATACATACATACATACATACATACATACATACATACATACATACATACATACATACATACATACATACATACATACATACATACATACATACATACATATTGTAGCACTTTAAAACTAATAAAAGTAGTAAGAGAGAGAGAATCATTTATTGAGAATCGTGTTGTAATGTTCACATATCTTATATTCAGAAACATTTCGAACTATTGCACACATTTATATTTACATTGTTAGAATCAGAGATGTTAAGGAGAAACTTTTTAAATATCTTTTGTGATATGATGAATTTTTACTACCGCTTATCAAATCAGTTATTTTATTTTCTCGCTTGTAAGATACTCTCAAAGTGATATATTTTAAGTTCGAATCTGGAACCTATTGTGTGATTCATAGTTGGACCGATATAAGCTGGAAGCTCACACCCATTATAATGTTGTTACAATTTCATGGTCTTAAGCTAAGTAACTGAAAAAACGAAAGCGAAATATATACATACCGTACATCGATCAGCTTGCAAATGTTTTATTTGATATACTTCCTTTAACTCTTAGAACAAGCTTTTGTTGTATTTATAAGGCAGTTTGTGTGACAGATTCATTATTATCCCGTGGGCTGTGTTGATACTGTGTCCTACTGGAGGTTTTTGTAAGACATACAACTACTATGAAACAATATAAGGTTAGAAACATGAAAAGGCTTTCATGTAATAAAATATTAATAGTGAAAATTTTTATTAACAATAATATTATATAAAGGTAAATACGGTAGTTTAAAGAATTTGCATCAGCCTAGTAAATAAATCAACTTGATATATAATGTTATATCATGTAAGCTATAGAGAAAATTTTTGCAAAATTGGATAGTGAGGCACGGGTGCCCGTAATCTAGAAGACTGTCATGTTGACTTGCACCTACACTACGTTTCAGAGGGAAGAGTAGATGTTATTCTGTGTAAAAGAGTGATTGTAGAAGGAAAATGTAGCAAAACATGCGATCAAGATCAGCATGACAAGTAACAATTAACTTAGATGTCTGGGCTAGACTCGCCAGAAATAAAAAGACTCAGATAGTTAACAATTTTGTTTGGGTGAAGTAATTGATTTTCAAATAGAATTCGCTGGGATAACGATGAGAGAGAGAGAGAGAGAGAGAGAGAGAGAGAGAGAGAGAGAGAGAGAGAGAGAGAGAGAGAGAGAGAGAGAGAGAGAGAGAGAGAGAGAGAGAGAGAGAGAGAGAGAGAGAGGCGATATTACCTTAGGGCTAAGTAGCACGTAACAACAGCATGGAGACAAGCCAGAGACATTTTGTGCCATTTGAAATAACGATAATTTTCGAGATATAGCTTACATTAATGGCAGAATAGAGGGAATTGTTTTAACTTTAATAGGCTGGGCAAATTTTTGTCAGTTATTGTTAATTCAGATTGAATAAGCTAAATGAGGGGTGTCTGTTTCGCATGCAAAATTCGATCTTTTAAGCATTTTCCTTTGCAAAATTAGTCAAAGTGTTTCTGAGGAAGGGAAAGGTCGTGACTTCGAACGAGTAGAAAGTGTGTTGGAAGTTGTGGGACACGGAAAGATAGATAGATTCGGCTTCATGGAAAGAGGGCCAGTCTGGGAAAGCACAAGGTTTGCTTCAGTCGCAAATATTATATTCATTGATATAGGGCTGTACTTATTTTCTGCATGTATTCGTTTAAAGTTCATACTTCAATTTTCTTTGAATTTGGAAGTTAATTATTTGCATGCATTTGTCTAAAATGGCTTATGTCTAATATATTCTAAGAACGTCATGCAATATTACCTTAATATCTATTTTGAGACAATTGTGTAAATTTATTCGTTTGTATGTATGTGAAATTTCATGCGGAGAATTTTGAATTTATCGGTCTTAAATGACATGAATAATGTAGACTAAGAATTAATTTTACTATGACTGGAAATGTTAGGCCAATAATTGGATAGTTAGCAAGCAATATAGTTAGGATTAGATATGATCTTCTTTAATTCATTCGTGTGATTAAATTGTAGGTTCCTTCCAATTGAGAAACGGACGCACGCAGATCATCACATATAGTTACATATCGTCCACAGGGTAGTACTAAGGCTTATTGTGTCTAGGTAATATCAAAGTGCGTTTAGGAACGCGTCTAGGTGACTGAGAAGAAAGACATTATTTTATTGTAATTGTCGGTTACTGCATTTCTATGGGAACATATGAACGAGGGCAGTTATATTTATCCGGCAAAACGAGTTCATAATTGCCCATACAAATGCAGTAACCTTTTTGTTATATGCTCATCTTCTTATTCAACCTACGTCTTAATTATATAAACAAATAAAAAGCTCATTCTTTCATCGAAGCACGTTTCATTCTTTGTTATTCGTACCAATATACCGTTAGACGTACTATAGGTAAATCACAAGCATTGAATAATTCTTTGTTGTTCTCCCTTGAAGAAAAGGTCATGATACTAAATTGCCAAAACATCTCTTCATACAGTAACTATACTTTTGCATTTTCTTTGGGTTACTAACGTCATCTGAGAAAGCCAGTGATACCGGTTATTCCATCATTGAAATGAATGATAAACTTCAATGTACTTTGAGTCTGAGAAACGATGTCTTCTAAACAGCAGATTTCTAGGAATAACTTAATGGAAACGTTCACCGTAGGAGAGACTATGACGTCGATGCCATTCACCATTCCACGAACTCTCTATAGGGTCTCATCTGAAATTCCTTCTTGTTATTAATGAATGTCAGCTTCTCTTTGTTGTGCAGCAAGTGTGATCTTCTAATCGTTTCCATTCTAGTGTATTTGTTTTCTCTGCATACGCCCTAGCTACCATGATGACATCTTGGTTCTCGATCGATGTTAATCCTGACTATACCTATTTTGTAAACGTTTTTCCGCTTCCTGACGGTAGAGCAACGTGAGACATACGAAGGAAGGCTATTATATTTTCTATGCAGATGATTTTTCTGCATGGACCAGGGATTTTGCATTTCGTTTTTACCGTGTGTGTGTACATAGTCCTTCTAAATTGGTAAGAAATCAACTTGTAAATAGCTTGTATGTGGAAATAATCTTTAGGAACTACCGATCAATTTTCATTCGTGGTCGATCTTGATTATTTAAATATTGCAGGTGACGTCGATGTTCTCTGATATGAATCAAATGTATCATCTTTAAAATTGTTGGGGTGAACGTCTGATAGAAATAAACTCATTGCATGATATTAGGTGTAACAAAAAGTAATAGCTTATATTCCGGGTTCTCCATAGTCTGGTGGAAATTGTTCGTGAAGGTGAAATTATACTAGACAGATTGCTAAACTTATACTACAGACAGATTACTGAAATTATACTACAAACACATTACTGGGCAAACTTTTTCACCCTTACAATGTATATACAATAGACACGCGCATTTATCTTTAAAAGGTGTGTAGTGTGTGTGATATTTTATAATTTGTTGCATTTGGCAATGATGCAGTACTATCTGTTTTGTGAGAGGTACAGATGACGGATGGACGTCACATTGAGGTAAAGTCCATAACAATTAGATGAATGTGTTTCCTGTGCTTGCAGATTTTGTGGATTTTTTATAACTCGTGGTCTAATTTATGTTTTTTCTTGCCTGAATCTAATCAGGTATGGTTTTGTATTTAGAACAAGGAGGAAGAGTTTGAATACCTTCAGTGTAGTCAGGTTTAATACACCTGTAAAACGTTACCTGTATTACTTCAGTGTATCATACTAGAACACAGTTTCCATTACAATCTGTAAGGTCTTTATCCGAGATATCAGTATGGTAGCGCCGGTAACTGTTTTAGAACAGTGACACCTTTAATATTTATTTACATTGAAAAGCTTTGCGATGTTGCTTTAAAATACGACACGGGTTCCATCACTACGGGTGTTTTTGGTCATACCGTTGTTTCGTGGTTTAAAACATCTGAATAAGTATAAAGCATTTTGTCTCGAGAGTTAGTGAGAACCATCGTGGTTTTATGCTGTAGAACAGATGTTTTTGTTTCTTTAGTGTTAACCTATTACACGATTGTTGAATAGCTATATTACATTTGGCTTCAACAGCGCCGGTGGTTTAGTGATTAGAGAATCCACCTCGGATGCGGGAGGTCGTGGGTTCGAGACATGATACTAAAAGCTGCCTTGCTTGGCGCTCAGCTTTCAGAGGTTAGTGTTAAGACAGGTTGGCCTGGTGTCAGGATAATGTGACTGGGCAGGACATCATGTCACATGTCTGCGGTATGATGCCTCAGTGCTAGACTTCACTATAAACCGTCACACGTTACACACACACACATACATACACACATATTTGGCCTCTCAATTCACAATAACCTATGGTTCTTATCTGGCCATGTACAAAATGTTATAAGGAGCAAATACCAAAGCTATCGTCTTAAATGACATTCATTCGTCTAAGTTGCTGTCTACATCTTGGCAGTTCATCTTGTGCATATTTAAATTTTAAAAAATTATTTATTTTTTTTTGTTTCAAGTTTAAATTGTATATAAAAATTTATATGAGAAGTAGATATTTCTAGCATGTAAACAATTTCAAAGAACATTCTACATTTAAATTTTCTGGTATTAGGAATAGGATGTCGCTGCTCATTAAAGTCCTAAAAAAATAAAATATGATATGGCAAATTTAGTTTGTGGGATCTAGAATCGTCCGATTGACAAACAGCATCTAGCCTAACACCACAATGCACAATATCGGAAAGATTTCAAAATGATAATTTCACTTATAATGTTCAATACCATATTCTATGTTTACCTTTTTCTTCAATCAGATGCTTATAAGATATACCAATAAAATAAACATCATGCCCATTAAATACATTTCTTATATAGTTACAAGTAGGAAAAATATAGGTATATTTGCGTCATGCTGCGGTCAGCTTAGTTCTATTCTTCGAATCTGTGATCAAAACAGAAGACATTTTTATGTTGGGATAAGCGTAGCCATATATTAAATTAAGATATGATCAGCCCAGAATACATTAGGCATGAAACTTCTCATCTCACGCTAAAAATAAAGATTAGGTGTCGCACAGTGTGCGATGTTTCTCTAAATAGTTTTACATAATTTGTTATCTTGCAATAAACTGTAGTGTTGTGCTTATTATTGGGTACCTCAAGTTTTATTGAGGTTCAATATTCATTATTGTGTGTGATATATACAAGATTTTACGATATTAGTGTAGTGGAGAAATGTATATGGAATTACATAAAGTTACAATATATTAAATCCAGATGTTTTCTCCTTTAACGTTAAAAATTTATCAATGTGATACTCTTACCTAATCATTGTTGGGTGAGGTGTGTTTCTATTTCCAATTTTAATATTAACATAATATTGAAAGTACGACAAAGAATTGAACGCCTTCTCAATCTCTTTATAAGAAGTCGACCTGGTATATTTTAAGCACAGGCAAAGATTATAAACCTTGCGAGCATCGTCTCCCATACATAAGCCATTAATAAATCCTTTGTTATATTCTCATATTCTTTGTGGAAAAATGGATTTTAAATTATCAGTATTGCGACCTAATATAATTTTATAAGATCATTTTAGACAGTAGGTTGGTCGTCATTCATTTTCTATGCTGCTTTGATTCAGCACCTTTTGAGATATAAGTAATTATACAACCTTTATGAGTAGAGGAAAGGTCAACATTACATTATGCAAAAGGTAAGGATTTAATGTCAATATATAATTTAATTCTAGAAAATATTTTAAAAAATACTCAACTTTCAATCCATGTCATCCATAATCTTTGCAGTTACTCATCTCATAAAGACAGTTGGTATATAAAACATATAAACGTGTTTATCTACAGTATGTTTTCCAATATTCATATGATTTATAATGTTATAAATATCACTGATATCTGTGAAATATTAAGACCTTTGTTCTACTTTGTGTATACATTATATTGGTACGGAAGCATCAGCATCTAACATTTTCTGTTATCTTCCAGCCCTAAAGAAACACAACCTTTTCCAGTAAATGTCAAGTTTATGTCTTGACAATTACTAATGAATCCATATCTGTCTGGTTTTCTGATTTACTAATCTATTATCATGACTCACTCTGTTAAATTTAGTCTACATAAACAGTCTCATGTAATTTAAGACTTGAAACGTCTTCAGAAAAACTTGATAAGCTATGCTTGACTTTTTGAATGAAAGATTGGCTGACAAAAAATAGGTAGCCATTTTTGTCAAAAGCTCTTTAACTAAGAAAATACTATAGATAAATGTTTTAAATTTCGTAAATGTTCACACCGTTAGAAAAGTTTCATTCCTTACAATTATTTATTACGTTGTGTGTTTTTTGGTATTCGTGGCGTCAGATTAGATGTTGTGTGATATTAGAAATTGACAATTCGCGATATAGATTTGGGCTTACATGTTGAATGTAGATATGAATTACCAATCTGATATTTTTATATAAATGTTAAAATTCAAGTTTGTGTTTCACATTCAAAAGAACTTTAGTATATATACGAGCTAACGAATATCAGATACGCAAATATCAGATTCGCCTTTGTGTTTCAGAAAGCTTTACATTGTAACGAAAAAAATACCCATCATAATAAGCAAAAGGAATTTCTAAAAATAACAAATAACAATTCCACTGAAGGAATAGGGAGATGCTTTATTTCACAAATATAATAAGTAATTGCATTAAAACAGAGTGTTACCACCTAATCATGTAATAGTTTGACGGGTCATTCAGGAATATTCCGCCCTTTGTGATGTGTTGTATTGAAACTCCATGGTTGCAGTCTTGGGCAGCTATCTAGAAATAATAAACATAAAAATAAAAATAATAATAATAATAATAATAATAATAATAATAATAATAATAATAATAATAATAATAATAATAAATGATGATGATGATAATAATAATAATAATAATAATAATAATAATAATAAGAAGAAGAAGAAGAAGAAGAATAATAATAAGAAGAAGAATAATAATAATAATAATAATAATAATAATAATAATAATAATAATAATAATAATAATAATAATAATAATAATAATAATAATAATAATACAAATCTTGCGTAACCAGCGAGGTAGGAATCATATACATTAACATTGGTGTTGTGACTCCATGTTTTTAATATATTTGAATTATATTAAGTAATCATGACGTTACAAATGACTACAATTACTACTTTAGTTAATTTATAGCTAATTAACACATTCAGATACTTCCGCTGAAGCCTCATTTGAATCGCAGAACTCACCAATTTGGCATACAGGTTTATCGAACCAGTTACCTTGTTGAGTCACCACACAATACCGTGTCAAAATGTATTAGTCATTAACATGGATAGATAGATAGATAGATAGATAGATAGATAGATAGATAGATAGATAGATAGATAGATAGATAGATAGATAGATAGATAGATAGATAGATAGATAGATAGATAGATAGATAGAGAGAGAGAGAGTAACAAAAAAGAGCATGTGATTGTTTAATATTTGTTTTGCTGATACAAACTGTTTCTTTTTCTTTCCCTGTTAGAAAACTATTTACATCGATGTTCCTCCTTTATTTATGTCTTCGGAAACATAAAGTTTTGTTTTACCTGGTATGGCCACCTTTAATGTTTATTTACATTTAAATGTTTTCCAATTTTGCTCTAAACTATGGTACTGGTCCCATCACTACGTGTAATTATTTTGAGTATTTTATTATTTTGCCGTAGCTTCTTTACAGTATCCATATTTGAACTGATACAACTCATTTTTCCTCAACACAATTGTGAACTATTGTGCTTCACTGATGAAGACGAGCTACCTTCGATTCTTTGGTGTAAACATGCGCTTATTTGAAGAGGTATATAACATTAGTGATCACCGTGATCTACAGTGCCTCGCTGGTCTTGAACCAAGTCATTATAGAATGTGGAGTCAAAAGTTCACTGCTTGTCTTAAGATACATTTCCTGATCAACTTTGCAGTGTAGAATGCAAGTCTCGTGCTTTATATGTTTATGACATTTTTCTCCACATATTTAATTTTGATTATAAATTTAAAGTTCTATTAAACTTTTATTAGATGTTTTGCTTTAATTCTATTTGAAATGTATATTTCCGATACAAACCGGCTTGTGTAAGAAATATTGTTACTGCTGAGAACTGCTCATGTACAAATATAGGTCCTAATTGTCTAGAGCGTCCGCCTCGAATGTGTGAAGTTGTGTGTTCTTACCCGTCCGAGGTATACCAAAGACTTACAAACAATATAAATTCAACCTCATCAAACTATATTCAAAATTCACAACTCAAGAACATTTGGATAATTGAATAGGTGGCTAAAACATCATTGGTATAGGGAAACCCGTAGGATAAACTGGTTAAATTTGACACAATAATCCACATAACTGAGATAGTTATACAATACAATAAATAGCTACGTCAGATTCGGGATTCGGATTCTTAGCTGGGCTGTTGAACAGAGCGGACGTGGTTTCTGAGCTCTCGAACTTTTAGGATAATATTGGATGATTCACTTCATATAATGGATTCACTTCATGTAATGGACACTACACTTAGAAAAGGCTAAGGTAAAGTAAAATCTACTTAAATTACGAATATAAATATTACTATCAGTATCATTAAAATTTTACTGTCGTTATTATCTTAGACACAATGTAAATATATAATGAATTTAACTAAAACTGATTTCTAACTATTACCTTAAATAACTCTCTACTATGACTAACAATATAAAATATACCATCTCTTAATAATTATAAAGCAAATTAACTAAACCAAAAATAAACTATCAGATACAACAATTTCTTTGTCTATAAGTAAATAAATACGAGCTCAGCTACATTTATCTTAAGCAATATTATAAAACCACACCAATATCCCTAATCGTTATCTTAATACTACTCATTAATATAAACTCTCCACAGAAAAGACCCCTAAAACGTTTAATAGAAAACAAAATTAAACATTAATTTTCGCTCGCCAGACAAAATTCTCCCTTACCTGTGCCGGGTAAAATATTGAATCAGTTTAAAAATTAGGTAATACAATATAAATAAGCCTTCAATCTAAGATTGCATTTGATTGGCCGAAATTTAGGCTTACTTTCCCCATACAGAAAATTAAAT